ATATATTATAAGTACATTAAGACTAATATCTACAAAATCCGTAAACAAAATCAATCATCAACATTTCTGTATACCTGGTTTATTTTAAAATCACTTCTAGCAATTTACTAATGCTACATTTTGAGCATAGAAATATTAAAATAAATAAATTACTTCCAAGAGTCAATTTTTACCAAGTTTTGACGCAAACCACAACGCTTTTGTCGGCTCTTTTATACCCGCGTTACTTCGGAGAATCTACTTTATTGCAAAATCAATAACGATTACTTAACAAGCTATATAAGTTATCCTAGAGTCATTTCCACGCAATGCTTCTCGGTTTTGTAGTCCAATATTGGACATCATCCCCCAAAGGAACATGTAGTATAACTCCCCACACTATACTACATTCTCAATTTTTTCGACTACCGCTTTATTTCTTTATTTTTTTTCTTCTTGTTTCATATTTCTTTTTAGACGCGCAGTTGGGACCCTCCGGGGGGAGTGGAACCTAATGAGAAAACCATTGACAAAAATGACTTTGACATTTGCGTTAATCTTCTTCCATAAACTGCTGGTGCGCCAGGACTATGGGAGAGAGAAAAAAATGAGAAAAAGAGTGCAAAATAAATCATAAATTCACTCATGCGATGTATAACAGCGATGTAAATGATACTGCTAAGATGTAAATTTAGTACGCGTCAAGTGGTTTCTGACAACGTGGCCGAATTTATGCCTGGCAGTATTAAAAGTATAAAATTCGACAGTTTGGTGCTATTTTATTTTAGTTGTATAAAAATATTTGATTTAAAATGAGATAAATCGTAGAAATAATGTACCATAAGACTGGTTTCAAATTTTAGTTATCGCTGCAATAAGTGTTATTAGAAAGTATAACACCATACTTACACATTTAGTCTTCGAAATAGTAGTGTTTTATTATATTTATTTTTATAAAAAATTATATTTCCAAGATAAAAGGTAATATTTTATATTAATTTTTTATTTTTTATTTTTTTTGTATTTGTCAATTTCTTGTACGTAGCGGCCTTAAAGCTGTTCTCCCCACCCTACCACCGCGGAAGGGTTACAAAATTTTTTTGTGGCCCCCCGAGGGGAACAACGTTGATATTTTTTTTATTTATTTAATTTCTATTTAATTGTATTCAATTAAATAAAAATTGCCATCAGAATAAAAATAAAAGGTATTGAAGCGCGGTATTTGTGCGGTTTAAGGTGTCTTTTCTCCCAGATAAACTTTCGTTTACGGAAACTCGCACAGATCCGAGAAAAATATACTGGTGACTTAAAGAATTAATATTAAATCTTTCTATCGAATTAATAAGAAATTTATTTTAATTTTTTCTTTAAAATACATATTTTTTTCCGCAAGAAAACGATTTTTTTTAAAAAAAATGCATTTTTTAATATTATTCTTAGTTTCGAGATTTTCATTTGGTCTACAATAAAATAATCTGAAATAATCGGCATCGATTTGTTTAATTCAATTTTGTATTTTTATATTTTTTATGTTCGTGAATGCTAAAAAATAATTCAATGCTCAGAACTAGAATTTAAAATGTTAAACTCTCCGAAAAGTGCATTGATTTCTGCAGACATAACACAGACATAAAAAAAAATACAATAGTAACATTGTAAAGAAATTTATTGGATTGAATAGACGTCGAAAGTCAATTAAACTTCCTCCTAGTATCAGGAGAAATCTTTGCTTTGAAAGGAGAAAACAGAATAGTCAGTAAAAACGTTCACAAATGTTTAAAAATATTTTATTAGTTTTAAAAATCGATTGTAGCAATGCGCAAAAAATGGATCACTATGAGCAACTTTTGATCTAATGCTCGGATCTTCTAGTTCTAGTTTCGAGGAAGTGACTTTAAATATACTAATTATGTAGTACAGACGATATTTTAAGCAACACGTATTTCTGAAAGTTTTCAATATTTTAATTTCAAGTTCATTATTTTTAAAATTCAAAATAATATTTTTTTACACATGAATCAAAATTATACTTAAAACTTCCAGAAATAATCAGAAGTTGGAAATATAAAATTAAGATTCAATTTTGTAAATAATTAAGCTACTTTTGACTTTAGTATTAACAAATATTTTAAATAAAGCAGAGGGGAAAGCCTTTTTTTAGAGGGGAAATAATTAGATTGGGAATATCGCGTCATAACCATGAGCGTAGGGGGAAAGTTTTTCCACAATGATAATATTTTTGCACTCAATGTAACATTTTTTAACTATACCAGTTTTTCAATATCAGATATTGCTAAATTGCATATGTTCTGATATGATCAATTGAATAGAATTCTAAAAATACCTTGTAACCAAGCTTCTGCGTGTTACTCTGAAAAACATAAAATATTCTAAAGTAAAAAACATGAGATTTGTGATATTTTACTGCAGTTAATTAGAATATTTGTCAACATCATCACTTATTAGATGAAAAATATACATGAACTAATCTTACATTTCATAAGATAAAGATTAATAGTGCAATACTTGATAAGTATATTAAGTAAATGATTGCGAATGAAGTTTCAGTAAGAAATAAAGGATAAGAATTTTTAACCAGTAAATTTTAATTTTTGCTAATTGTACTATGGTTAAAGGTTGTCAATGTCAGAGACCATCTATGGCAGATGGTATTATTTAGGGCTAATCTGTATCTTGATTTAAACTTATTGTACAATTTTATTGTATATTATTAATTAATTGTATTCATAAAATTGTGAAATCAAAGATTACAATATTTGTTACTGGTCGAAAACAACATCATTGGCGAGTTTCTTATTCTGAATGTTGCAGGAAATTGTAGTTTAAGAAAATGTATACAGATCGAAACGTGTGTTTAAAAAAATGAACACAGCATGAAATGCCATCAAAATAACTGTGAATGCCGTTAAAAAATGGTTTAAGAATAAAAATGCTCTTTTTCAAAGTTAAACCCAAATTTAACAACTAGACAAAGAATTTTGTGCTTACATTATTTACTTTTTTTAAACACTTAGCATAATAATTACGGGGCAAAATCTCGGAGTTCGAGATCGGGGTAGCTGGATATATTACAGATGTAAATTTTTGAATATCTCTTCGCATTCAGAGTTGTAAGCGATTAAGTGCACATAAAAAAATTCAATTTGTACAACGTCAATTTAATACTATTATTAAAAAGTTCTAAGACTCGCGACAACCTTGTTTAGACTACTGTTGATTTTTAATGTCTTTTTAAAAAAGTAATATAAAAAAGTAATAGTAAAAGTAATCGTAAAAGTAAAGTAAGTCAAAAAAGTAATAAAAAGGTAAATGTTTTCAGTAATTTAGTCAATAGATGACGATAATTGATGGCGTCAATAGATATATCATAGCGAATTTATTTTTATACATTAGTTTATTCCCTAAATAATGAACCATTTTTATAAGAGAAGTACGAACGGAATCAAATGTTATGTCCATTTTCTTTAACACGCATTTTGAACTATGATCTTTTCCTCAAACACACATTTCGTATAATACATAAATATGAGGTGTATAGCTAAAAATATGTTTAGTTATAAATATGTATGGCTGGTATGTATAGTTAAAAATATGTATAGCTGGTGAGCTTTGTTTGAAAACCTCACCAGCTATACATATTTATATATTTATTTTGATGTGCTCGGTTGATTCGATTTAAATACTTTAAAAAATTTAAAATAATAATAAGTATTGAAAACATTTTTTACGAAGAAAACTACATTTAGGCTTGATATATAGAGGGGAAATAATCTTTACCTTAACTTTTTGATCTACGATGTAAATTTCTACCTATTCTGGCATAATCGCAATGTATTTACCCCTGCAGAAAAATCATAATATAAAAAATGCGAAATTTAAAAGTACACATGAGCAGTATAAACATTAAAATATATTACGATTTCCTTAGCATTAAAAATAATTTAAAAATATTGTTTCACATTATGAAATGACTTATAAACTTAAGAATCAAACTTTTTTTCAGTGTCTATTTTTCATTCATAAACTGCTTGACAGAACTAAAACATGTATTCTTTTGTAAGTTACAAAAACAATGAAATTTTATATTTTGTATCATGTCAACTCTGATTGAACTTAGTAGATGCATACATTGGTAATTCTATAAAGTAAATATAAAAGGCGATAAGGTCCCTGTTGATGGTGGCTGGCTAGTGATCAATAAATTGGACGTGTAAAATAAAATAATATAAATTGAAAAATCAATTAATGTTGTAAAAATAAACTCCTTTATCAGTTTCATTACACCTCTAAACGATATTTACCGGTTTTCTGGATTAATAAACTTAATATCTGCCTCTTAGTAGACTAAATATTTTTAGACAATTATTAAAAACAACAATACAGAAATTTACACATTAGAACAGACATTTTTTTCCATTAAAACTACTATTACTATTTATAACAAATATTATCCTGCTGCAATATAAATTTTAGTTCTAAACTTATCATTACATAACTTCTAATATTAGATAACGTTTCCGGCGAATATTAAAGTTCTAATATATTCATGTGTGTGTCCTGTGTACAACGTATTGGCAAATGTGGATTCATATTTGAAATTAGTGTATTAGGTAGAACTTTGCGGAAACGTGGTATGCAAACACGATCCAGAGAACACTGATATCCATCTAATTTCCTATTCAGTCAGGCAATATCCGTCTATCATAATGCGCAATAAACTAGTTTTGAAATGATAGGAATTTCCGAGTTCAGACAACATGATATACAAATATATCGATCGCAAAAATTTCTCTAGGAACCGTTCAAAGTAACATTTTCCAGGCGACCTTTTTCTTTCAAGCCATTTTAATCCAGCGTAAAGAACAAAGGAAAAGAATAACACTGAAAAAAAAAATTCAACAAAAGAATCGCGAAGCAAAAGCGAGAACAAAAAAGTTCCAACTGAAATTTCCTCGCCATCGATTGCGTTGACTTTTCTATCTTCACTCACTAGATGGCACTACGGGTAAACCGGTTTTCAGGAAAAGGTGTCGGATTTTCGGTATCCACAAAATGGACCGATACCTTCCATCTCCGTTCCTCTCACTTTATCCGCGAGTTCTCATTTAATGCGGTCGCAGTTAAATGTCTCTTCTCTTGCTCAAACGACCAAGTTGTGACTCGCTGGGCTCTTAGAGAGAGAGACTCGTTAACATAAGAATGCCGTTGTCTTTTTTTTTCTCATAGTGTTTTGCGTCATCAAATAGACTAGGATAGTTTTGGTTCTTTTTTTAAGAGAGATAAATAAGAAAGAGACAAATAAGAAAATAATACTTGGACTAGACAAAAAAAAGAGCAATAACTTGGACTAGCCGATGAGCAGTCTTCTTGAAAAAAAGGTAAGAGTTAGAGGCAAAGCAATAATACATTTTATAGCTACATTAGAACAGTTTTGTAGTTATACGTTCAATATTAAAAAAAAATAGTATCGATATCTTGTAGAAAAAAATAGCCATAAAAAGAGCGAGGAATATCGGACACATATAACATGATTTGGATGATGAAACACTATGATTTTTGGCACAGTGCACAACTAAAATGTAAGCATGAACGTGATTACATTCTTTAATTACAAGCTCTATAATCATCGAGTTCACCAACGACAGGAAACGAATAAGTTTATATTTACGGACAAATATGCAGACAAACGCGTAGCGTCTGAATAACGTATATTATAACAACAATATTTTCTCAAAATGTTTTGAATTCTTTTTTTTTATATACTCAAATCGGATTCTATATAATAAATAAAAAAAATTGAGCACTTTAATTATGTCTAGCTTTTAAGTAATAAGCCTTTTATTAGTTCTAAAAAACTAATTTTGATATTTGTAATAAAATCGTGCGATTTATGCATATTAGATTTATCCATTGCAAACATGCTTAGTAGTTATAGCTCAATAAATGAATAGCACGTTATATGCATAGATACAAGCAGTGTTAGCGTAATAGATAGCTGAAATAATAATGGAACTTTGAATTATTAACGCAAATGGTGAATAATGTGAATGTAAATGATAAAAAATAAAATTATAAATGTTTAAATCTAATAAAAATAGGCTTCTATTATAATTTCGAAAAAAATATTAGAAAATCTGTTTGCAAAGCTCTAACATAAAAAACACGTCGTATTTATAGTTTGTATTTATAACACGTTTTTAAAAACGCTCTCATTTATAGGAAGTAAAATGTTATTTACCTCTCTTTTAAAAAAAATAAACCAAACAAAGAACTTTGCAAGCATTGCTCAGAAAGATTTTCTAGAATTAAAAGGAAGAAAAATTGCATGATGCATGGTAAATGGTTAGCATGATAGATAATTAAAAAAAAAAGATTGATTTGTAAATAAGTTAGTGTATAAATATATAAATCGCATGCTTCCATATATATGACTAAGAGACGATTGAGGAAACTGGTTTAGAATAGCTCCATACGTTGTTCTACATATTTGAATCTTTTTCTTTCAATAATATTTTATATTTACAAGTATTGAAGTATTTTTTCTAACACAAATAACACTAAACAAACAATTCATAAAAACAAAGGAAGACCTATTTTATATAAATTTTTGCATGAATATATATACTATTTTATCTAACTATTTTTCAGAACTATTTTATCAGAATAACTATTTTTCTTATACGATGATACTTTTAACAGCTTTTTCCAGTCTTTCAAAACAATTAATTTAAACAATCTTTTTACTTATTTTAAAAAAATTGCTTTGCTTATTGTTATAATAAAACTTGAAAAAACTGGTGTTTTACTACCATCTTTAATATATAAGACTCAATTGTTAGTAAGTAACTGAGTAAATATATGAAACGCACGTGTCTATAAATATTTCTGAAAAAGACAAAAGAAATTAATTTTCTTTAGTTTTGATATAAACAGACTAAGTATATATTTCGTTTTTATAACAGATTTTCAAATAAGTTATGCTAAAGAGATTGAGAGGTCAATATTCTAGTTCATTTACACTAATTAAAAAACCATTAGTATATTATAGGTACACGGAAAAAAAGTTTTTAGTAAAACTATAGTGCTATATAGTAATGATATTTCTGATAAAAAAAACAACACAATTCTAGTAAATGAAAGAAACAAAAATGCGCTATTTAAACCACCCATTTGGTAATTTTTCCTGTCATATGTTTATGATTTACCTAAAATTCTGTTCTTCAAATTCTGGTTCTTATTTTCTTATTACCACTAAAAGTATTTTCAGGTTCTTATTACCACATACTTAATAAAAAATATAAAACAGAAAATACAAAAATAGAAAATTAAATTTCACAAAATAAGTAGATTTTATGCCATACTTAAAGCTATTATCATAGAAATCGCCAAATGCTACCACGTTTATAAGATTTTATCACATGTTATAAAACCATATTTAACAGATATTATTTTTAAATCTTTATCGAAGTGATGGGTTAAAAGTTCTCCAAGCTGTTTGGTGTTCTCATACAGTCATTAACATGGTGGTAAATTTTACCATATTCTGGAAGTTTTGGCAATATTTTTATCAGTGTACATGTCTATTAAATGTAGTAAAGAACCAATTTTCCCTAGTTTAATCACAGCAAGAAAACAAAACATTTATAAAAAAACTCTGAAGAAACAGTGCTTAAATTTTTTTTATTTAAAATGCACAACCGTTTTGACAATTGCCTGCTGTAAGAAAAATGGTTATTATGATTTGTAATTGGAGGCATCGAATCATTTACTGAGAGATTTATACTAAAATACTTTAAATGTATGCTTCAATAAATATTTTAGAAAAACTAAGAAAATTAATTCGCATTAGATTTAATATAACCTGACTAATCTTTAAGAACTAGTAAACTTCGTTTAAAACTATTTTCCCGCAAGAAGCAGGCAAACATTTTAAATGCTTCAAAATTAAATTCCGGATTGCATAAGAGCATTCTAGTATACATTAATGAAATATCTTATTAAAAATGCGTCACAGTTTCTAAACTTTGTTTCATGACATATTTATTTAATGCGCATTTCATAAGGTATATTTAAAATTCAATGAATGCATTACATTTAAAAATCAATTAAAATTTGCTTCACCTTCAATTATTGCAATAAATTTAAGGCTCTGTTGTATCGCTAATTAAATCTATTAAAATATCAAGGAAATATGGTTCAGAATGGCTTAGACGCTGAACAGTTAAATGTGTAAAATTTACTGAAAAAACATATTTATTGGTTATGAAACAAAGAACCCTAGAAGGAATTAAAGAAAAAATGTTTACATTAACCGTATTGTAGACAATATCAATTTTACAAATGCATAATTTCTCGTATATTATAACAAATATATTATAAGAGTTACAAAAATACATTATAAATATTAAAGCCGATTTTCTGATGATTTTATTAAGATATTATTAGATCAAGGTATTTGTTTTATAAATTAAATATTTATGTTATTTATTTGTTATAAATTATATTATAAACATGTGATATTTATAAAGGAACGTTTAAAATAAAATCTTTACATATATTTTTTTTTTCAAAAAATATTGACGTGAATTTTGAAAAAAATTCACGTCCTGGAGAATGTGAATAAATATTAAATTATTAAAGTACAATAAGCTTCAATACCAAAATTTGCATTAACTAAGATATTTACAAATATTTTCCTGGCGTGCACAGTTTTTCAATTACGCAACATGAAAAAAAAAAAAAGATCATTCGTGCGGACCACAACGACCAATATTGTAAGACAATTGAAAACTTAGTTTGACGTTATGTTTTCCTGTCTATCATTTTAGAAATTTAGCACAGTGAAAAAGTTATTTTTGAACAATGGGCTTATTAGTTTGTAAAACAAATTTCATTGTTGGCATATTGGTTTCAATAAGGATGCAAAAACATTAAAGAAATTTTTTATGTATATATATTCTAAAAAGAGCTTAAGAAAAAAAAAATTCACTTAATTGATATCATTAGAATGAAATTCGGAGACAATTTATATAAAATTTGGAAATTGATTTTCAAATGGGATGAATCATTTTGTTTTATCCGTGTTTTTAAATCCGCCACCACAATAAATTTGAAAATTTACTTAAACTTGTAAAATTTGTATAAATTCTTGTAAGAGACTTCCAAAAATACATCAAAATACATTGTAATTGATGGGTAAAAATGCGTAGATTGACAAATAAAATCATTCGCTTCAGCAATACAAAATGTGAAATATTCTATAAATGCATATATATTTATTCTCCACTCTTTTGGATGCTTAATTGTATTACCTAGTATGATGAAAATGTAAAATCTTGGATATAAACATTTAATACATGTTTAAAATTTTTAAACTCCTGATGCTATGAAAATGCAAATAAAACAGTCAAACAGATAAAATACGAATATAATGCAGACCAAAAGCATTTATGGCAGCATTCATAAAATAATTTTCCAGCAGTTTTCAATTTTCATCCGCAACTTCAAATTTTGCTATTGATTTAACAGGATAGATGAAAACAATAAAATAAATAATTGTTAAAATAAAACCAATTGAAGTCAGTTGAGAAAGACCCATAATGCTTTTAATAATAAGAAGAATAAACTATTCCTATTCCAGTAAATAATTCCGTTCTATTTCTATTTTTGTAAATATTATTTTTATATATTTTTTATGTAGTTTTAAATATTATTATTATTTGATTTTAAGTATTATTATTATTTGATTTTAAGTATTATTATCATTATATTATGGATATTATTATCATTTGATTCCAAATATTATTTTTATTAACATACCTGCTCTAAAATTTATTATTAATTGACAAATAATTTTGCATTATTAATAATTCTACTTCATTTTCATATTCTTATGTCATTTTATTGGTTGGTATCATTTTATTTCGTTACGATTAGCGTATTAATAAAATATGCATACATAAAATCGTAATCATTATATACTTTAAGAATAAATTGATTTTAAGAAAAAAATTGAAAATTGAGAAAACATATGAAGAATGAGAAGTAATCTCGGGATTTGGTGAGGATGGAAACAGGATTGGAAACAGGAGGCGGGATTGGAAACAGGGGGCGGGATTGAAAACAGGATGCGGAACACTTTAGTTTATTAAAGTTTATTTATTTTTTAAAAGTAGATTCATCCGTAAGGTTATGATTAAATATTTAAATAATTTTCGAAACTGAAGATTCATTTTAATAAAAATATTATTATGAAACTATAAATTTAATTTAGCTTTATGAACTCTTAAACGCTTACAAACCTTTTTCTTAGTCTTTAGATTGAAGATAAGAATGAATTTATTTTTTTTAGTAAGAAATTTGTTTCGAAAATTAAACG